CTGAAATGATCCTACTTTGGACTCATGATGCGAAGACCCAGCTCTCTGGAGGAGGCTCTGATGCTGGGAAAGGTGGAAGGAAAGAGAAGAAGAGGACGACCAGCAGCAAGGGGGATGGACTTGATTACAGCAATGATGGTACACCTTTGGAAGATGTGAAGGACCAGGTTAGGGCCTGGTCATCATGGAGAAAATCTATCTATGTGGCCACTAGGAGTAGTCGCCAACTTGATGGCGCATAATCAATCAATCAACATGAAAACCTAGTTCTCTAGCAAAGGCCCCGATGCTGGGAAAGGTGGAAGGAAAGAGAAGAAGAGGACAACCGGTAGCAAGGGAGATGGACTCAGGGGTGATGGGGGCACTGTTGGAAGTGAGGCCACCTGAATCAATTTATTAACAAACCATTAGAGGCGTTTATAAGCCAAGCATGACCTTCAACCAGAACTATTCTGTTGTAATCTCCTTGTGCTTTTGCTTGTTAGAATCAGCAATTCTCCAACAACTGCTTGCAGGAGCTAGAAGAGTTGACCACAAAGGCTTCACCCATAGAGTAGCTGGCAGGATGCAACTTCGACACCTTCTTGAGAAACTTTGCAAGCGAGCCTGTGACTGGAATAAAGGAAGGTGACGTGACATCCAGCTTCAGCTGCGGTTAGAGGTGGAAATCTCATCTGCCAATACCCTCCCACTGGACTATTATGGGATAGAATACTTTTGTGTGCATGTCTATGACATTTACCAATCAGCTTATTACTTCCTTGTTTAAACTGTATAAAAGAGGGTGGCTTCATGAAGGCGTGCTCAATTTGGACTTGGGCCCCGAGCGTACCTCTTTCCTTCTGCACAGAAATAAAGCATTTAGATTCCAGTTTCCTTGACTCTACGTGATTGATGGGCCCCCCTCGCGCCAGGCAACAACTCCCAGAATTCCCTATGCAGCATCCCCTGCTAACATTGAGTTTGAGCATCTTTGGGCCATTATTGTCACTGTTCACCTTGCTGGACTCAATTAGATAAGGTTACAAAATCCCAGCACTTCTATAAAACATTTTCCCTGGAGGAAAGTTAGAAAGCCGTCATGGAAGAATTCCAGTGACTGTAGTACGGGGAGTCCCTGGTTAAGAACGCCCAGTTTGAGGACGATCCATAGTTAAGAACGGAGCCTACTGTAGCAAAATTCGAGCTAAATACACAAAGGTTTGAGTTCATTAGACAATGCTACTTATACAGCATTATACAATAATACTGTTCTGGCTTACATACAAATTCGACTTAAAGACAGACCTTGGGAATGGAACTCGTCCTTAAATTGGGCACTGCCTGTATTTCAAGATTCATTGACAGAATTCACATTCAATCTCTTTCGCATCTCTTTCTCTAGTCGCCCTCATGGATGGACTGATAATAAGGGACTGCTTCTGGGTGGGGAGGTTAATTTCCACCTGCCCCTGGTAACAGAAGTGGTGTCACATTGTTTTCCTCTGCCTGTCTGCGAACAAATTCTCACAAGCAAGCTACAAGAACGACCCAACTTTTGAAGGTAAACATGCTCAGGCTATGCTATGCAAGTTAAGGTTAGATTTCTAATATGGAAATTACCTTTCAAGCCACCACACAGTGGCTTGCATTCTGCCAACTACAAGAGACGTGCGGTGTACTAACTCAGGATGGCCTTGAAAAAGGAAGAAAAAATATATATACTGTATAAACACACCAACAAGGAAGACCAAAACTGTTGTAATCCTCAGCTTTCCAACTTGCCAATCTAAGGTTGCCAACTCCATCTGAAACCAGTGCTGAAGAACGCTTCTCCCTACCCAGTAAATTTGAACTCACTTATGTACATGAACATATACATACGTGTGCATGTGAAGGTCCTAGAAGCTGCACAAAGGGGGGGGGGAGGAAGGAAGGAAGGAAGGAAGGAAGGAAGGAAGGAAGGAAGGAAGGAAGGAGGGAGGGAAGGAGGGAAGGAAGAAAGGAGGGAGGGAGGAAAGGAAGGAAGGAAGGAGGGAGGGAAGGAGGGAAGGAAGAAAGGAGGGAGGGAGGAAAGGAAGGAAGGAAGGAGGGAGGGAAGGAGGGAAGGAAGAAAGGAGGGAGGGAGGAAAGGAAGGAAGGAAGGAGGGAGGGAAGGAGGGAAGGAAGAAAGGAGGGAGGGAGGAAAGGAAGGAAGGAAGGAGGGAGGGAAGGAGGGAAGGAAGAAAGGAGGGAGGGAGGAAAGGAAGGAAGGAAGGAGGGAGGGAAGGAGGGAAGGAAGAAAGGAGGGAGGGAGGAAAGGAAGGAAGGAAGGAGGGAGGGAAGGAGGGAAGGAAGAAAGGAGGGAGGGAGGAAAGGAAGGAAGGAAGGAGGGAGGGAAGGAGGGAAGGAAGGAAGGAAGGAAAGGAGTTTGATGGGAGAGGGAGGGAGGGAGGGAGGAAGGAGGGAAGGAAGGAAGGAAGGAGTGAGTGAGGCCAGGACCAATATCTATGTTGGATTAGGAACAATTATATTAATTGCCTATAATTGTTACCTCGTTTACAAAATTAATGAATCCTGCATCTGAATATACCCAACCATTCTTTCATGTAAACAAACCACCGTTGGGGGCGATGGGCGGCATACAAATTTAATAAGTAAGTAAGTAAGTAAATAGAAAGGGTTAAATTCACCAGGCAAACAAGTCCTCCAGAACAGCAGCTCATCTTCAAACAATTTCCAACTCAGCAGCCATTTGTACTTCTTACTTATTCCCTAAGGCAGTGTTTCTCAACCTTGGCAGCTTGAAGGCGTGTGGACTTCAGCTCCCAGAATTCCCCAGCCAGCCACAAAGGGTTGG